GAGTAAATACATTAATCTGTCATTTGCCACTGGAAATGTTGGCGTTAATCTGGTAAATAAACAAAACTCTTTCATAACGCAAACGCACACAATTATCAATTAATTAATTTCATATGGCTGAATAAAAAAAACGTAAATTCATGTTTAATTTCCATCCCCATTTATTTGTTTGATAAGTAAATTATAGTTTAGTTAGATCCAACAGGTAGTTGTTGGGCTTCTGCTACGTTTAAATAAGCAACGACTCAAGGTTTCCCTCTAGTGGAATATTTAGTGAATAACATGTTAAATGAACAACTGAATTATAGGTGAATCTCAACTGATCACAATAGCAATGACAAATATTTGTATATATGTGTAGATATACATCTATCTGTCTATATATATGTACGTTTATATGTTGCATATATTACTTTTGTCAATTTCAATGTATTTCCCTGGCAGCTGATTTTTTTCTGTTTAATTTGAAGGTATGTAAACTGTATCTGTGGTGGTTCTTAAAGCTTTTATTCCAGCTGCAGTCCATACTGCACAAAGCTCTTCCAAACTCCAAAGACTGTGACTGTCCTTGTTGTCTGTGTGCCTTTTTCAACCACATGTTTGTTTTCCACTTTTCATTATAATGCTGAGTTATTGCACTTACAGAAAAAACAGTTTGACTTTATTTGGCTTATCCTTTATGTGGAGGGTTTCACTGATGCCCTGTTTGGGAGCTGTCAAGTTAGTTGTCCTCTCCACGATTTTGTGGCCATAACTAAATGTTAAAACATATTATTTCCTTTTTTCCCAGTCTTTTTCCATATTACCTCTTCATTAGAAATAAGCCATAGACTTCAAAATGAACAAAATAGACAATTGACATATAACTATTCGGATACTGAGTCTATACATGAGTTTCCCTTTTATCTTTATTATTCAATTGTATTAACTCTGTGATAATATTTCCATTAACTGAAATGCATCTGTAAATTGAAGACTAATATAGGTAAAGATATATTTTTTTTTATTATTATTGCTTTTTCAGGTGTGCCTATCATTCTATTAATACTCATTCTTAGCTCAAAAATCAGTTTTATTGGGCATTTTTATCTGAGTCTTTGCATGTGTATTCTTTTTTTTAACTCAAATGCTGAAGTACTTAAATAAACTATATTAATGGTTAATAATAATGGAACACCAATGGGGTTTTATTAATGTTTATTATAAATATTTAGAAACAGTGAAAAGCTTTTCTTGAAATGAAACATCAGTCAGAAACTTTCTTTAGAGGTGCCACAGTCCCTAAATTCAGTCGACCTCCTCGATAGTGGGACCTTGAGAGCTACCTCCAGCCTGGCTGCCGCAGCTTGCTGATCCTGCCCCCTGGTACAACTTAGTCACAATTGGTTTGCACACCCTCTCTAACTCACTCTGCTGGTGCTCATACTCCTCCTTCTCTGCCAACTGGTTGTTCTCCAGCCAGGAAATTGTCTGGTTGCATTTGTCGATGACCAGTTTTTTCTCCTCTTCACTTATTTTTCCTTTCAAGGCTTCATCTTCAACACTGCTCTTCATGTGGTAAGCGTAGGACTCTAAGGAATTCTTTGCTGTGATCTTCTCTCTCTGCCTGTCATCCTCTGCCTTGTACTTGTCAGCATCTTGCACCATCTTTTCAATCTCATCTTTGCTGAGTCTGCCCTTGTCATTGGTAATTGTGATTTTGTTTTCTTTGCCAGTGCTTTTGTCCACTGCAGACACGTTTAGGATACCATTGGCATCTATGTCAAAGGTGACCTCTATCTGTGGCACACCTCTGGGAGCAGGCGGGAGACCTGTGAGCTCAAACTTTCCAAGGAGATTGTTGTCCTTGGTCATGGCTCTCTCTCCTTCGTAGACCTGGATCAGGACCCCGGGCTGGTTGTCAGAGTAGGTGCTGAACACTTGAGTCTGTTTGGTGGGGATGGTGGTGTTCCGTTTGATAAGGGGTGTCATAACACCACCAGCTGTCTCAATGCCCAGAGACAAGGGTGCCACGTCCAGAAGCAGTAAATCTTGGACATTCTCTGAGGTGTCCCCCATTAGGATAGCAGCCTGGACTGCTGCACCGTAGGCTACGGCTTCATCAGGGTTGATACTCTTGTTCAGATCTCTACCATTGAAGAAATCCTGTAGGAGCTTCTGGATTTTGGGGATTCTTGTAGAACCACCAACTAAGACAATTTCATGAATCTTGGATTTATCCAGTTTAGCATCTTGTAGGGACTTTTCAACAGGCTCCAGTGTTCCCCTGAAGAGGTCAGAGTTTAGTTCCTCAAAGCGTGCCCTTGTGATTGATGTGTAAAAGTCAATCCCCTCAAACAGTGAGTCAATCTCAATGCTAGCCTGGGTGCTGGAGGACAATGTTCTCTTTGCTCTCTCACAGGCCGTGCGGAGTCTCCTCACTGCTCTCTTATTCTGGCTGATATCCTTCTTGTGTTTTCTTTTGAATTCCTCCACAAAGTGGTTGACCATTCTGTTGTCAAAGTCCTCCCCACCGAGGTGTGTGTCCCCTGCTGTGGCTTTTACCTCAAATATGCCATCTTCAATGGTCAGGATTGACACGTCAAAAGTGCCTCCACCTAGATCAAAGATGAGAACATTGCGCTCTCCTCTTTTACCTTTATCCAGGCCATAGGCAATGGCTGCTGCTGTGGGCTCATTTATGATACGCAGAACATTTAGTCCCGAGATTACTCCAGCATCCTTTGTGGCTTGCCTCTGGGAATCGTTAAAGTAAGCTGGAACTGTGATGACCGCATTCGATACCCTCTGTCCCAAAAAGGCCTCAGCTATTTCTCTCATTTTAACCAGGACCATTGAAGAAATCTCCTCAGGACAGAAAGTCTTTGTTTCTCCCTTATATTCCACCTGGACTTTGGGCTTCCCATTGTCATTGACCACCTTGAAGGGCCAGAGTTTCATGTCACTTTGAACCACTGGGTCATCAAATCTTCTTCCAATGAGCCGTTTGGCATCAAAGACAGTGTTTGTGGGGTTCATGGCAACTTGGTTCTTAGCAGCATCTCCAATGAGTCTCTCTGTGTCAGTAAAGGCAACATAGCTAGGAGTTGTCCTGTTGCCTTGATCGTTGGCAATGATTTCCACTTTTCCATGCTGGAAAACCCCAACACAAGAGTAGGTGGTGCCCAGATCGATGCCAATGGATATTCCCTTAGCTGATGACATCTTGCTTTTTTTAGATTAACCTGTATAGAATCAGAATAAGAAAATCTTATTTTAAAAGTTATTTTTGACAAAAGCATCACAACAAAGGAAAACTTTATCATAATTATCATCTATGGAAACATTTTTAATTAGCCATTAATAGTATCCTTGGGTGGTTTTGCAGCAAGTCAACACTTTGAGACATTTGGCAAAACAATTCATATTTCGGTATTGTAAAAACTAAAAAAGTGTTGCCCTACAGCAAAGGCCACGGATTAGTGGACCAGGGTCCGGATCCGGACCCAACCTGATTTAAAACCTTTATAAATTACTGCATGTTGTCCAACCGTCACTTGCGTCGCTTCTCCTGTTTGTATGGTAAAGCCACTCGGAACCCCCAGTACCAGGCTGCACGTGATACAAATTAGACAATGAGCTGTGTCAGTTAGGGTTGCTCCTTTTAGCCCCTTTTAGACACAGCAGGCAAACAATTTGGATTTTAAAATGGAAAAACATTCCACTTTTTATATATATATATTTTAATTCAATATATAACATTGATGCATAAACACTTGCATTTCATATCAGTGTTAAATGCTATTTAAAGTAACAGACTATAATTAAAATGTCTCTGGACCTTTACTAGTTGTTGATTTTCTTTATTCAGACCCCACTCATTTTTAATTGGCTACCCATGCCCCAAAGTGTTCTTGAGGGGTGACCTTAATTCAGTGTGATTGTCCTGCCTATAATTTATAAGCCTGTTGCTTTCCACTATGCCTTGTATTCAAACGTAGGTTCTCAGTGTCTGTTTTTATACTTCTGCAATACATGGTGATTCTATTTGTCTCTAGTAATATATTAACTTTGCTACCTTTGTTCATTTCAGATTTATTGAAATTATTGAACCTGTCGGAAGAATTATATCTATGTATCTAAACATCATACAACCAGACTTACATTTCTATAAAACCACCCAATATGTGATAAGGACAGATAAAATAACTCTCAGCAACCCTCCACATTTATTGCTGGAATAAGCCTTAAAAAGTAACTTTCCTTTCAAAATTTCAATTTAAAATAATTTACTTATCTTTCAGGCATTTTCATTCAGGAAATGAAGTGAAAATAGTCACTACTTAGTTTATGCAATTTAATGTGTTTAAAGGTTTTAGACTGCTGAAATTGTAGAGTTGCAGCTACTTACAGTCACTGCTGTTCTCTTTGTTGCCAAGTGAGAGGAAGGAAGGATTTCCGCTGGGAAGTTCCTTTGTGTCAGTCTCTGCCGTCAGGTGTTTCTTCTGAAACTGCACGACTTCTACAGGCCTGTTGCTTATATAGCAACACCCAGGTTTCCAGAAGCCTCCCAGTACCCCCCTCCTCCTCCTTCAGGTCCAGTGACCAAACAGTTAATTTTAGAAACTAATGCAGCTAGCCTAGAGTGTAAGAGTCGTGAATATTCCAGAGAGGAAGAGTCATTTGACGCTCAGACAGCAGAGCTTACTGTAAGGAAAGCAATGCAGAGAATTTAGCATTTAGGTCCATTCAGGGAGCTGGGAGGAAGTTCCGAAGGGCTCCAACTGCAACCTTATTTCTATAACTAACCCCCCCTTTCCAAAAAGAAAAAGAAACACAGTTTTAATGCGGATTGGAAAGCTTTGCTTTATTGCTGATTTAATGCATGAATGTACATACATAGTACACTTAATGTCATTTCAATCACATAAAATGCTATTTAAGGTAACCAAGTTTAAATCAAAATAAGACAATGACAATCATATTCCAGGCATAAAGTCTAAATTTGTTTTTTTTTAAATGTTGGGGTACAATTACTACCAGAAGCAGAAGAAGGAAGACATCCTGTTTAAATATTTGTTGTCAAAAACAAAAAGGAATGATTGTTAAACTAAAGTCAATGCTGATGGTTGATATATAAAGCCTGTTTCAAAACAAGTTTGGACACTTTTGGACCGTCTTAACTAAACCACATAATGCAGTTGTTGAAACTAATATATGTTCCGTCTAATTTTAAATCATACTTACAATATGCTTGGAGGAAATAAAAGTAATTTAAACACATAAAATGTTACTTAGAGTCATCAAGTGGTGACAAAACTGATCACAGTGAAAGATCAGGGCTATAGGGACCCGAAGGTATTACTGTGTAGGTATTTTTTGCTGAAATAATCAATTCCTTGTATTCTTGTAGCTCTAATCTGATTTTATCTCTTGGTCTCAAAATCTTCCTAGCAACGAAATTTACCTGTTCAACTTATTGCTTAAGAAGTTTCTTTCCTACCAATAATCTCACAGAGAGATATTTCAGTCTTTTTCGTAACCTGTTGCAATAAAAAGAACAATTCCTACCAGAAAGATCAACATATTTTATTTCTAAAAACAGTGGAATATTGGGTGCTTCCCAGATATTTCTATTTAAAACAGTGTCCCAACCTCTTTAAATACAGAGCTGTAACTAATCGAAAAGGCACATTCATACCATGGCCTTAAAAGGCATCACCCAGGCAAAAGGCTCTACAGTGACAGAGATCAGGAGTGGAATGTCAGGGAGCAAATGGAAACTTGGAAATAAATATGGGATGTTTTTATTTATTGAAGTGACCCTTACAGCTCTACTTCTCAGGATTTTTCAAAATCTCCTTCAGTATTATGTAAAGCTTGTAATATTTAACGCCTCATGATGTTCTAACAAGTTAAGTTGTATATATAAGTTATATACATATTATATTATATATATTAGTTCTTCTTAGTTTCTAGTGCTGGTTAGCAGTGCCTTGAAAAAAATTTTTCTAAACTTTTACATTTTTTTCATCTTTTGTTATGCTACAACCAAAAACTTCAGTTATTGTATTTGACTGACAAACACAAAGTTGCATATTTGTGAAAAGTGAGAAAAGATATAAATGGAAACCAGGATCTGAAGAGTGTGGCAAGCATTTATATTTTCCCCTTTTACTCTTATACTAATAAAAAATACCAATACAGTGCAAATGGATTTAGAGGAAACATATAAGTAATTTTGTTTTAAATGGCTCCCTTTCAGACATTAGTTATAGCTGCCTCCTAAACTAGCAGGCTTGTAAAGACATCATTGTTTAGAGGTGCAGCCATAAGGGTTGTGATTACTCCTGAGGAGCTGTGGAGAACAACAATATAACCTATGGACAACTGCATCATTTGTTGTGCACTCTACAAGCGTCATCTTTACTCACTGCAAAAAGGATTTATTAAAAATTGATTTTAAAAAAGTATGTTTACCATTAATTTGAGCAGATAAATAAAATTATCTGCCAATGGAATGAGTGTTTTTACCATCAAAATGCAAGTACCTAAAATAAGAGACTGCAAGTGTTTTTTTCCCTGTTTTAAGTGTAAATTGTCTTATTCTATTAGCAAATTGCCTCACTTACCTGATCAATTCAAGAAAAAATGCACTTATTTTAAGAACATTTGAAGGACCTAGATTTTTTAAAGTAGTATGTGCAACGGGAACAAAGTCATTATGGAAAGAAGTACAGTACTGCTTTCTATTTGCAACAAGTCACACTATTTAGCAAATGTGCTAAAGAAGGTGTTCTGGTCAGATGAGGAAAAACATAAAAACTATTTTATCAAACACTTTTACACTTTGACAAGGAATATTACAGACTATTCCCATCTTGTAAAATGGTGATTTGTCTCTAATTGTGCAAAGGGAAAGGTGGTAGAGACAGAAAATAAAACACTGTTAGCACTATCTGTAGGGAAAGGAAATCCATTTCATGCAACCCAAACTTTTTAATCAGTGTACATGAATAATAAGTTGTATCGTCTTCTTTGGCTACCTTGTAATGTTCTGTCAGAAAATCCCAATAAATACATTGAAGTTTATGGTTGTAATATGACAAAATCTAAAAGAAAAATCTATATGAATGCATTTTTTATGTTTCAAGAACGAGTGAATGTTACCTTTTAGAGCTTATGTGATCACATAATTCCAAAAATGCCTTTATGCAAATAAAACTAAAATATTACGCATAGTAATACAGAGTCTACTTCAGCTCAGCCTAAACTCTGGTTAATGAATGTGCCCATAGTTTTTTATTCAATTGCCACTGACAACAAAACAGAACGGCCATTATTTGGCACTGTGCATAAATATAGTAAACAAACAAATCAACAGCTTTGTCATTGGGGAAAAAAAATCAGTAACAACTTAATACACAGAAACATCAACGCATGCAAGTAGGATGCTCTCTGAACACAGAACAGATTCATGTTAGTTGATTATATATTATAGATTCTCTATATAACTTTTCCTGTAATATTTAATTCTACTTTTGAAGTGCTATTAATAAGTTACATTCAGCATAGGTAAAATAATTCCTCCATTTTGCAGTAGTTTATAAAATAAAATAGATATCTCTGTTTGTCTCAGGACGTTTTGCTGAGTAGCAGATATCATTTCTAGTACCTGTAAGATAAACACAGTTTTATTGTACTCTTTTGAAATCATTTGATTTAAAATGAAAAGTAGTAAAAGGAAAAGGCTAAATGCCCCCAACCTGTAATAATTTGGCTTGAAGGGGCCGTTCTTGTTCAGCCCCATGTACTTAGCCTGCTCGTCAGACAGCTCGGTCAGATGGGCGTCAAAGTTAGGCAGGTGCAGACTGGCCACATATTCATCTTTGAGCAAAGACAGAAAGTAATTCACCATGGATGAAGCTGACTTAATCTTTACTTTAATAAAAGCTGTGGATCTTTGGGGGCGTCATAGGGTGTCAGCAGTGAGCAGTTTTAGAAAGAAAAAAAAAAGTCTTACCCATTTTCTTGGGCAGGAGATAAACATCTTGTTTGTAACGTCCTTCTGGAGCGTTGTACAGCTCAATCAAGGCCAGAGCCTATGGACAACAAAGAGGACAGAGATCTAAGACTCACACACCTAACCTGCAAACATTGTTCAGCTGAAGGCCAATAAAACTGACCTGAGTAGTAGCAGTGATGGACAACACAAATGTAGGCACTGTAGAACAGCTCAGATTTAAAAGACGACCCTGAAACAAAAAGTTACTTATAAAGGGTTAGGGTTTCTATGAACAAATTTAAAAAATCGGAAGCATGAAACTGTTGTAGCAACAAGAAGTGTGAGGATTGACGTTAATGTCTAGGGATTTACCTCTGCCAGCACAATAACCCTTTTTCCATCTGGCCAGATGATGTGGTCGACCTGAGAGCGAACCCTCTCCCAGGTCAGCTCAGGACTGCGTAGACTGGCCTGAGGACACACAAAAAGAAAAAACATAAAAATATTGTTCAGAGGGGAATAATTATGAGACATCTGTCAATGATTTACACTCAAAAAAAGTTTAGATTTTACCCATCAGCTGTTTCACCACTTACATTTTTTTTCTCTGGTACTGAACCCGATGCCTTGAATTAAATAGATGTCATGACTGCAAATTTATTTTTAATAACAGGTATCAGGAATCTGTGACCTAATTCTGCTCCTCATACCTAAAATTGGATTACTGGCTGTGATTTTATCGAATGTGTATCTTCAACAGCTGTCATTTAATTTAACACATCCAAAAACAAAGCTATGTCTATGCATATGTACGGTATTTATTTTTGTGGATATATTTAACTGATAGAATATATCATAAGCTAGAAAAGTATCAAAGAGCCATCAAATCAGAGGGCAAATATGGTACAGTAATGGTGCTTAACCAACATGGCTCCATGTTTTGAGTTAATTCTTTTGAAACAAGTAAAATAACTTATATGGAGAACTGAAAGAACTTTTTAAGCAGTTTTCGTGATCGAGTCAATGCATGTAAGTTTGGACAGAACTGCTTGTTTCAGCTAAGCAGGGGTATGAGACTAAAAAATATGGGTAAGAAAAGATGTCTCCTGCTCTTTAAAGTACCGTAATGCTATTTATATATATTTCTATAAGTAAACATTATACATGGGATTGATTTTACATAGATCATGTATCAGACCGTTACTTGATAACAGCCCAAGTCTGTTTGTTAATTGTTTGATTTAAGACCAGGTCTTGAGTCCCTGTTGTTCTCATTCAAAGTTGACTATCTAACTTCAGTGCAGCACGGGAGGAAGTCCAGATAGTGTATTAGTTTTCTTTTTTCAATCTATCACTGTGACCCTCTTTTAAAGCTAAACTTGACAATATTGGATTGCAAAGATGAAAAAAAGGCAGCTTTAGTGTATTTTGGCATTTTAGATTCAGTTAAAAAAACCCACTCATATCGAACATGGTTTTAAAGATGTCTAGAAATTAATAAGGAAGAATATTTGCCCCTTTTTTCAACTTTTTTTTATTCATTCAGTGATCAAAACTTCAAAATGATCAAATTATGATGCATAACATCTTAAATTGTTATAAAGAATGCAAAATTCACTACATTTATGAAATATTGCTACTTAAGTACTTTAGGAGATGCTTTAATCTGTATATTAATCTCAGTGCTCCCCACCACTAGTTAGAACTGAAGAATCCTACTGGATGAGGAAAAAGCGTCTTCTAGAAAACTTCATGTCCAGTTGCATAAACTGAATTTTTTAAAGCTTGACCATGACCAGGATGACTAAGAATCTTCACAAACATGTTACTTTAGGAAATGAAAAAAGGAGAACAAAAAAAAAAAAGAAAAATTATTTGGTAGTCTTCTCTCTTCTTTACAAACCTACTCAGACTTGAAAACCAAATGAAGAGATTCTATATTTATATAGACTTTTAAAGCTGTAAAAAATGTTGTGTTAATGTAGATCACAGTTTGTTAATTACATTGCAGTAAGGAAAGTTAAAGGGTCTTTTTCAATTTCAGCTCCAGCCAATCAACTTGGGGATCACACCTTCTCCATAACCAATCATCTTTCAAGATCCTCGTAATTTTGCTCTTAGCCACCTCCTCCTGCATTCTCACACTATTCTCAGTCCCACTCACCCTCTGACTTATTCCACCACCAATGTACCTCAGGGGGAAGATTTATCTAATGCTTTTCTAGGTTACTCATCCTAGCGAATGTTAATTCACAGAATCAAAGTCCTCTGCTGGGGCCCGAGTGCCAAAGAACTTGGCAGATGGCCGCTCACACTTAGTTAGCCTGGTTCTGTTGGAGGGTTCTTCCTGTTAAAAGGGAGTTTTCCTCTCCACTGTGGCTACATGCATGCTTGGTGTGAGGGATTTTAGAGTGAATGAGTCCTTGCAATCAGCTGGTTTCCTTTAGATAGANAATGAGTCCTTGCAATCAGCTGGTTTCCTTTAGATAGAAACATTTTGAACAATCTGACTGCGTTACATGTATAAATAAATTGAATTGAATAAAACTTTTCTATGACAGCTTTTCGCTGTGTGAGTCTCTCCTGTTTGATCTGACTTCTGTACATCTAGATCAAACATAGTTGGACTTTAACAGTCAAACCTGAATATTCTACACTGGACAGAGGATGTTTTAAAAAAAACAAATTTCTTGTCTCAATCTCTTGAACGACTCTTAAGATAATGTCACTTAAATTTTGCAAGGTGAAGGTATTTTTACACCAAACCTTTGATATGCATCATGCTTCTGCTTAAATTCTGTTTATAATATTCGCCCCGCCATGCTGGAGGCCACAAACCATACACATTTTAATATGCATGTAACTTTAAGGGACCAGAAACACTTGTGCTGTGTTCCTTTATAATGCAATATAAGTATACTGGGCAAAGACACCAAACCAATTTAGAGGTAATATTCCATATAGCTTTCAGCATTCAGACAGATTTAAATAGGGGTTAAATAATGAAAATTATTATTTTTTTTTAAGTTAACAGGATGAAATGTGATTAGGTCGAATAAAATAGTGTTTTTTCTGCTAAAGTGTGTGAATACATGCCCTCTCCTGCTGATGAGAACCATCTTTTCCAAACAACCTCAAGGCTCAAAGTGCAAGCGGAAATACTGAGGCACAAACGTCCAGCTCATATAACAGATATATAGAGTGATAAAATTACCACATCGATCTCTGTATTGGAATGTCCCATATTGCAGACAATGCAGCCATTCTTCATTCGGTCAAGATGTTCTCTGGAAACAACATTCTTGTTGCCTGCATTTAAATAAAGAAAAATAGCTGTTTACTTTTAGACATAAAGCATAAAAGGGGTTTAAAATCACAGAAAAATTATGTTTTTATTCTAAAAAACACAAATATTCAAAAGAGGCTCTTAACACTGTGAGCAATAAAGGAGAAGGAACAGATGCCACTGCATGGGGCTCAGTACCAGTGCAAGTTATCACCACGTCCATCTGCCGGATGACCTCACTCAGCTTGACCACCCGAAATCCATCCATACTGTTCAGACACGGACCAGATATTTGTATTCATGCGAAAGTAAAAGTAAATCACTTAAAGAGTGATTTTTCTATTACAACTAATTCAATACACACAAACATACATTTTAGTGGGGTGCATTTATTGATGGGGGAGTGCTGAATGGTAATGTGCAGTGACTCACCATGCCTGCAGGGCACAGATGGGGTCAATCTCTGTGATGCACACAATGGCGCCGAGAGCTTTAAGAGCAGTGCAGCAGCCTTTTCCCACCTACAGATCACAAGGCAGTGCAATAAAAAAGGTCAGCAGTAACAGTGGAAACTCAGTCATTTTTAAGTAAAAGCCTTTGTTCTTTGTTGTTGTTTTTTGTTTTTTGTAAATTTAGGAATGACTCACCTCACCATAACCACACACAACCACTTGTTTGCCTCCAAACATTATGTCAGTAGTTCTCTTCAGGCTAATAGAGAAACCAAAAATAAGAGTTCATGATCATCCTGGAACGTTTTTATGTTCTTTTGTTTTTACACCATCACTAATAAAAGGGGCAGTTAGAACGAAACATTTATAGACACTAAAAAAATGACATCTCTTTTTCTCACTATCTGACATTAAATCAGACAAAAATTTTCCAGATTTAATTCATAAATTGTTGCACATTATTTTTTTCTATTTGATGAATGCTATGTTAATCAGAGAGAATATGTTAAAAGAGACTTTTTAACAAAAATCTTTAAAGTCTGCAAACTTGGTTACTTTCCTTTAAATTGTTTAATGAAAAAAAGAATTAAATGTGAAATCATCAACCCAGTGCTAATGCCTGAATTATCCAGGTTTTTAGCAAGCAAATAATTTGTTAATCCAAATTGTCCTAATAATAATAAAAAACAAACTAGTCTGATTAATGTCACACAGTGTTAAAATAAAATGTTTGTAGAAAACTGTAAATATCTGTTTTCCACTGTAAATATTTCTAAATTGCTTACCCATCCAGAATAGATTCTCTGCAGCAGTAGAGGTTGTCGAACTTCTGCTTTGTAACCGAGTCGTTCACATTCATTGCAGGGACACACAGTTTTCCTGCCTTCGATAACTGGTACAATCTGAGAGGACACATTAGGAGCTGTGCTCAGGTAGATGAGGTCACATGACACCTTTGTGCATATCCAATGAAAAGTGAGATGTCCATCTTTATGACATGAAGCTATCTGGAGCATCTGGCTAATTGAGTCTATGGAAGGTTTATTTAGCTGTGTCATGTTTCTCAAAAGCCCTGAAGTCATATAAGTCAAATGTCCCCTAAAACCCATTATGTCATGTATCACTAAGCAAATGGCTTATATAATATCCTTGGATATGTTTCCTGTTCACGCAATACAGTATTCAGAGTTATTCATCAGCAAATGCTGTCAGGTGAAGCAGAGGAAAAACTTTAAAATGACGATAAAAGTATCGGACCTGTGAACACCAGTGACGCTCTCCTCCACAATTCCTCTGACTTTTTTGAAAACGCTGGGATATTTCTTGTAAACCCAGTGAGTTAAATCTCCACCATCATCCAAGATCTTTGACACAAAAAAAGGAAAGGACATCAGTCATCCGCATCAACGATTTAAGAAGGCCCCTAAAGGTAAGGGTCGACTTTGTGATGCTACTGTACTCATGGTACCATATTGGCCTGCCAGCCGTCGTTGTTGACACAGCGATCGATGCACCACCAGAAGTCATCCTCTGATTCACCTTTCCATGCAAAAACAGGCACACCTGGAGAAAGCAAAACATGCTTAATGAGCAAACGTGGAGTGAGTAACAAAACCCATTAGGGAGCGTTACACTATAAAAACATAAGCGTGACATTTAACACTTTTAAGGTTTCTCAGGGTTTATTCAGTTTGATGACTACTGTTAAAGTAACATAAACCTGAACAAATTTTATTCATTAAGATGCAGATTATTACAATGACAGGATTTTATTTTTGCTTGAAACCCACATTTCAGAGTTTGCATTAACCAACAAGGATCATAGTTGCTTATAGTGTCCGTCTATACAATAGCTTCACTTAACTAACCATACTCACAGTATGACCTGGATCAGCATTTATTTCTTTTTTTTTTAATACAGCCTGTTATTTTTTCAGTATTTTAGCTGTACATTATTTAGTTGATCTACTTAATCTTGTTTTTTTTACAAAAAAAGGAGTTTTCCCCCTTTAGAACAAATGTCATATGTATAATAAGACTGCCTTGGCTTTTTTAATGCATTATATGATCTTGTTTTTTCTTGTACAGAGCAACGAAATTAACTCTCTGCATTTAACCCATCCCCTTGGGGAGCAGTGGGCTTCCATCTTGGGGCGCCCAAGGAGCAGTGTGGGGTTAAGGTCTTTGCTCAGGGACCAAGAGTGGCAGTCTGTGGGAGTAGGGTTCGAACTCAGAACCTCAGGATTCCAAGCACTATGCCCTAAGCACTAGTCCACCACTCCACATGCGATCTGAGGATAATCTTTTCTTTAGTGTGTAATTACCGGTATTAGTTCTATTATGGTTTACTTACTATACGTTTTTTTGCGAAATTCAGATTTTTTTATTGCGTTTCTGTTCCCATAAATCTTCATGTTATCGAAGTGTTAAGGAATGGGTTGCAGTAAAGATTACGTTTTAAATTGGTCATGAAGAAAAAAGTCCCACAAGCTTATAGAGGAAATAATCTCACCAGTTTCAGCAAGAGCAGCGGCCACCTCGTTTTGAGTAGAGTAGATGTTACAAGCGGTCCAGCGGCACTGGGCCCCGAGGGCCACCAGAGTTTCAATCAGAACCTGGGAGGATATAACGTATGACATAAAAAGTTGGGAGACTTTACTTTTTTTAAAAACCATCAGATGGACTGAACACGAAAAGAGCAAAGAACATACGGCTGTCTGAGCAGTAATGTGGGTACAGCCCACTATCTTCGCACCAGCCAGCGGCTTCTCCCCCTGGGCTCTCTTCCTCAGAGAGATCAGGGCAGACATGTCTGTAAAGAGAAACATTAGCATTAATCATCTTTTAAAATCTTACAGAGAAAGTTTGTTTAAAATTTAAAAACAAATTTGAGGGTATTTTTTCTAAGTTAGGACTAACCACATGTTGCTACGAATTATATATATCTGTGCATACGTACTAAAAATATATTACGTAGAAAGATAGCAAAAGGTGTACAGGCAGGGCTGGCAAAATAACTACTTTTACTGTCAACAAGAACATTTGAGATTCAGATGGAGTAGCTGTTCTCAGAAATAAATAATTACATGAAGAACTTGTACATGTAAACTATAAAGTTGTTGTCATGCTGTTTTTTATCTTGAACCTACAGGTGGACAATTATCAAATTTCAGCATTTATGTTTGTTAAGCCCTAACTTCATTCTAGATCGTTGGTTTTAATCATTACTGTTACAGCTCTCACAAAACAAACATATACAGTAGAAAATTGACAGAAATCTTCATGCACATTTAAACTATCCCCTTCTTGGCAAATATTTTGCAAAATCTAAAGTGCTTTTTATGTGGGTCTCAGGCCCCCAACTCTAAATTATTTGTTGTGATCATTCAACAGAGAAAAAAACACACACATAGCAGAACTGCATATCTGGATATCACAAAATGTGTGCTATAATGTTATATACTTACAGTAATAGATGCTAAAGTATGAGACTGAAGCATTATATTTAGTTAAAGCTTTGCACCTGAATATAATATAGAAAACATTGCAGCACCTCTGCCATATCCAAGTTTTACATTTACAGATTTACATTTCTAGAAATAGATTTCTAGATTTTCTGTATAAAAAAAAGAATTACAAAAGATTTGTAACGACTTGGATCTTATTACCTTTATTCTCCACTAATAATACAGCAGCACAACAGTGAAGCTGGATTTTGATGAGAAACTTTTCACCTATTGCTAAAAATCTACTACAAATAGATCAGGCCAACGTATAATAGAAAAAAACTATAAAATACTTCAAGGAAGGTTTTGTGTTTTTATGTTTTGTATTATTTAGAGGAGACGTAAGTGAAATTGTATTATCTTAGTCAAAAAAGATCTAAATAATACCTGAACTAAAGGTATATTTTCAGATGGACTATGTTAAGACTTTACACAGCATCTCTCTCTGTTGTTCTCAGTCTCTTGTTTACATTCAGTAGCCGGGCTGGCTATGAGAGCCTATATGTGCCCATGAGCGCATATGTTTGTAAATGCTTTGTTTTGTGTACATGCATGTACGTACATGTGAACATTTGCCACTCAGGGCTTATCAGAGTAGGAGAGGAGTAAAATGGCAGCTAAGGAAAGGGACAAAACAGGGTTTAACGATGGCGTCGTGTTTGTAAGGTGGAGAGCACTTCAGAGTAGAAGCAGCTCCAGTTTGTCTTGGAGCTAGCTGCTAGCTGCAGCTGGTCTGATTAACCGGTTAACTGTTAGAGTCTGAGCAGCAATGGACCCAACGATACTGTTATGTGACAGAAATGATAGATCTCATATTGTATGTCAAAATAAATGAAAAATATGCTAGTGCAACAAAGGGAATAGTAGTTTACACAAAAAATTCAGTTTGGATTTCATGGAATGAAGTGATATTATTATTAATTAGGAAAAGTTTTGGTCTATATAGAGTGCCTACCTAGAGGTGAAAGTCCACTTACTGCTCTTATAATGGTGAGTGCTAATGTTTTTTTTTTCACATCTAAAGAGCAGTCAGTAGAACTACAGGTCCAGTTGAAAATTTCAATCAAAGGGGGTCTTATTTTATAATGAGAACACATTGATGGATTTCACTTACAGATATGCTGTTATTTAGCACACTGCAGAAAATGTCATTGTCCTATTTTAAGTGCATAATATCTAATTATCTTTTTTTTTAGGCTAAATATTCTCCTCCCATTGGCAGATCTTTTTATTTACCTACTAAAATTAAGGGTAAGTACACTTATTTTAAGAAATGTTTACTTATTTTTAGATAGTTTTTGCAGTGCAAATTAAAAAAAAGCAAGCACCCTAACATGTTCTCTTTTACCTGCAATATTGTAGGTGATTAATTACAAAACAAAGCATGTAAATAAATAAAAAATGAAATGCTACAAATATAAAAAAAAATCTAATTTACTCAGTATAATTTGAAACTCCTGAAAATATTACATATATTTGAAAATGAAAGCTCCAAAAATGAGCAGCATTAAAAAAAAAAAAAGTAATTATTAATAATAACCCCTTTATAGAAGATAATAATGAAGAGAATAACTGGACAATGACTACTTTAACAACAGCAACGTACCATCTGCAGCCATGCAGCTTGAAATAAACACTTGTCAAGCACTTGCATACTTCACATTTACAATGTAAACAGCCAAAAGAACAGTAGAGAGAAGAGAGGCACTACAATATCCTGATATTAGGGTTAAAAGACAAAGATCATTAGACATTATGAACAAAAACAGAGCCGTACTGCTCTTAAAAGTCCAACCTTTCTTTGTTTTAGAGGTTATAAAAGGAGTCTATGATACAAATTGCACAGTAGCAAAATCAAGCATATGTATGGCTGTTTCCTCTTATTCCAGAAGGAATCCATAGTAAAAGAAAAGCTACAACCTCAGAGCTACACCAATCAAAGAGCATCTACATTAAGAAGCGATATTATATTCTAGATGTGCACGTTTAAGATTACCTTGCTCTGCTATTTCAATTTCGCGTCGGCCAAATTCTGCCTGTTTTATGTTCTTCACGCAGAAGTCGGTGCTGCCATGGCTGTTGACCTGGGCTTTGTCCCGGGGTGAGGTTTCATCATCTGAGCTGTCGGTGTACGATGCAGCTGGAAACACAAAAGGTCACTTTTGGGTCAAAACAAACGAGTGGACCCAGTTACGAAATCTATACATTAAATCTAGAGTGAGAAAGGAGGAACCTCTGTATGCACTTTTTATCTGTTAGCCCTTCTGTGCATGTAAAGTGCCTTGTAAAAGTATTCACACCCAGGAATTCACAACCTCTGGATATTTCTATGTTCTCTGGAAACCTCTACTGCCTTCATAAAGCAGCTATTGTGCTTAATACTGAGTTTTAATCAAATGCATGAAGAGTGCTTTTAACATTAAGGTGGCTTCTAAAGGCATCATAAGTCACATTTTTCTTGCAAAAACAATGCATAATTTTTCCTTTCACTCCAAAGTAATATAATACCCTGTGTTGTTCTAAAATATAAGATCCGAATCAACAGAATGCAATTTGTGGCTTTACTCTGACAAATCTGTGAAAAAGCTCAATAGCTTTGCTACAATAGAGTTGCATTTATTTAGGTATTTTAAAAGATTTGTGTGTATTATAAAATTACCTTTACCAACAAGTAAAGGGTATTTTGGTGTTAAACTGTTTGAATTTACAGTACCTGAGCTGTAGCTGTCTGTGGAGGACTGTGAGATGGAGCGGGATAGGGAGCGGCGACCTGCCTTGGTGGGATACTTGCTGAATTCCTGCTTGTCCTCAGCATTCGCAAATTGAATCTGAAAGAACAAAATTTGACACGGAAGTCATTGATAGAAAGGAAGAAAAAGTTTCAATATCACCAACGCCCTTTAACAGTGTAGACCACATAATATGCTTAGACAGCTGTTCATATCTGGACTCATTTTTTGCTTTAAGTCTAAAAACTGCCCTTTGTAAAAACAAAAAGAGGGAAATCTGTTTTTTTTCTCTTAAGCACAGCTGGAATAAAAGGAAGAGAGCTGATGCTTATTTTTTCATGTTCTCTCCTCCTCTGTGATTTATGCTTTGTTCAGATACACAGCCTTGAGTTGTTGTTAGATGCTAGACGTTATTCATCATGTTAGCCAAAGCCTTCAAAGCGCCAAACATCAAAGCCTTGGAAGCACATGAAGCAGATCAGCAAAAGCTTGATTAGCCTCTGTAACATGTAGCCTTGCTTTTAATAAAAGTCGCAACTGTTTGAGAACTGGTCAGGGGGTTTCAGCACCAGAACACATTTTTCAAGTTTATAAGCTTTGAACAGGTGTAGTGAAATATTTAAGACATTATGCTGTTACATCACAGTGCCGCATGTAACCCTTTGTACAGAAGAAAAAGGTCTGCAGGGATTACATAATATCCCTTCTTTTTGTACTTTTATGAAATTGTGGACAAGAAAAAGGATATTCAGAAAAATATCAACAGATGATCTACAGAACTAACATTGAATCTAGAGATGCACCGAGGAACTGGCTGTTCACGCACTGGAATAAATGTATTTTCAGCTTGATCGACCCTGGCTGGTGATTGGCTGGTCAGGAACTTGAAGCACAGGCCTTTTTTTTTTTCTAGTAACAACCAAAGTAATCAAGACATAGAATTCAATCAAAACTAGAGAAACAACACACTTTAACATGTTAAAAAATGTATCACTGCATGATACGAAAGACGACGATGTGTAAAACATGAAAGGAAAGCCACAACATTCCAGTTTCCCTTAATTCAAGGAAGAAATTGCAAGGTGCTAGCAAAAGTCACATTTCTATTTATTATTTCAATACTTATTACAATATCTAGTTATTAATCCAGTCATTTACCCATATGTATTGCTATTAAAAAATTGCTGCTTATTGTTGCTATTTGATTAAAAACAGACTAGAGACACTTGAAACAACACTGTTGACAATACTTCATATAACTGAATGAATGCCATAAGATCCATTATAAATGAATAGCCATAAAACCATTATAGAAACATAAACATATCCAAGTATAATAACAGAGTGAAGCACACAGTTAAAGAAACACTTGTTTTCATAGAAAACGGCTGCTAGAACGGCCCAGTCAGTTGTTCAGCTGTCTGAGTCATAGCTAACTGGAAATATACAGAAATAACAAGCAGATCACACAGGAAGGATCCCCAACACCTTCAAGATTTCAAAACAGTTTTTTTTTAATAATAGATTATAACCACATATGAAAAATGCCTGTAAAGATATCTTGAAGAAGTCATTATAAAACAAGCTTTTTAATACATGTCTGTAAATGTGGAGCACAGTGAGTTTTATTTCCATCTACGTGTGGAGTACTTGATTTGTTACTTACAATGTCAGGCTCTCGAAAAAAAAAAAAATTTAAATCACATATTTAAACTTTTTTTACCCACCATCAGCTAAGCACAGAAATTATTCAAAAGAAAACTACATTTCATAAGATGTTATGAGACAATCCAAGATCTGGCTGTGTTTCATTCAAGCAGTGAAAGAGAGCAAGACTTTCAGCAGGTAACAGGAAGGCTAAAACAGCAAAGTTGTTCTGTTTTGACCATTTGAGTTTTCCTACCTCTATCTGTCATGGATAATTATGGATTTGGAAATGTTGATGGTCATTTGGAAGTCTTAGTCTACTGACCAGGATTCTAAACAGGGAATTCAGATCTTAATGTTTTAGTTTAGCAAGCTGCGTTATTCCCTACAAAAGCGATGTGATGTATCTTAACATTTAAAATTCTATTTTATTAGAAATCATTTCCAAAATGGTGTTTACTTTGCTCCTAATATAGAATAAATGTGGTTGTGTGCTTAATGCAAGAAGGCAGGACAAATTATTTTATTTTTTTTATTTAATAAGAAAATAAACCACAATAAATACCAAGAACTCAAATAAAAATAAAAAATCGAACAGTGCTTCTCTCGCTACAAAATTAATCAAATAATGTCTTAATCCTAATTAAGAGTGCCCCGGAGACATATAATGTCTGCCTTTCCAAGAATTTATCCTCGTGGATTCATTATCGCAGTATGATGTTGCACCCCCGTCTGTCAGACGGCACTGTGTAAAGTCATAACACGCCGCAGTGTCCTGCAATCCTGGCTCTTCCCAATGCAGCTGCATAGACAGCATGCATAAAACTTTTCCAAAACCTTTCTCTCTTTGGGTGTCCTTTTTAACTCCCCATCATTTGAGTCCTTTGTCATGCTTGAGTTGCAGCGCTACTGTAAGTTTTTTATTGACTCTTGTCTCGTCCTGAGACATTTGTGACAGTGCTGTCGAGCTCCCTCAGCTTCTTATTTTTAATGTCCATAACTTTTGTTTGGAGTGCAAACTGTCTAGCAGGCTAGCAGAGTTGACAAAACACACAGGACGATGAATCAGGGGCCATAAAGATACTAGAAAAAAAACAATGTGATGCTTGAGATCTGACTGGAATATACATTGACTGTGACATATACATTGACCTAGAAGCGTGACATTACAGGTCAAGCTTGACAGAAATTGTTAGGAGTGACAACTTGCTGGTATATGTAAATACAACAGAGTAAAAAGATAAATAAATAGGAGAAGTTTCATTTGACCTAATTTTTAGTAGTTCCATCATCCCACTGATAGTAACACCTTGTCTTCAACAATCTACGATGCAATGCAACCAAAGAGAAACTCAAGAAGCTTGGGAGACAGGATGAACCGAACACATCTCTGCATGGCTCTGTTTTCACAACTGAGACTGTGGCCTTTCTCATATGCTAGGAAAACAGAAAATTCAGTTATACTTTGGATCAATTCATGTGGATTTAGCACTCACTATGCAATTTCCTTTTCAAGTTCAAGGCTTTTAAACAAGTCTGTACCCTTTTTCTGGTTATATGCTGAGGTGAAATAAAAAATAATTGCTAAATGCAAGATTTAATTGAACATTTTGAAGTTTATTGTTAAAAGAGTCCTGCATATGACAAAAAGAAGTCTGTAATTTAGTGATTCAAACTGATTTCTATGTGAGAATATATTAAAAGTTAAGTTTCCTGTAAAGCACTGCGAGTAACTCACCCGTTCTCTTCCGTGTCCGTGCTTGTGGGCCATAGCTCCCGGTCACTGCCTGCTGCTCTCTTCAGTTTTCTAGCCTACCTCTCTGAGCCTGTCCTGTTTGTGTGTGCGATGGTACCAGGTGTCCCTGATGCTATTATCCCAGAACACTCCCAGGCAGCTCAGGGGGAGGTTCCCACCTTATCGTGATTTCTAAATGGCCAACCTGGACTGAAACAGCCCGGGACGTAAAGGGGAGGTCAATTTCAACTCAGCTTTTCTTTGTCTTAACGTTTGCTTCACTTTGTCCTTGACAAACAGCTGTTGATGACTTCAGCTTTTATTGTATGGGGATAAAGCATTGTGTGAACCAGATATACGGCAGCATCACATGCACATGAGCACAAAAACACATTTGCTGAAGCTCATATTTTCAGCATGAGTTCCTAATTTGAAGCAATAAATGCAGTGGGATTGGCAGGAAGAACTAAAACCATTCTCCATTAGCCTTCTGCTGCATCATTAGGCATCTCTTTAGTCCCATCCTGCAGCTAAAAATACCCTTTCTCTCTCAGATAACAGGCCAGGTCACAGACTTAAGCTGTAGAGTGTTACAGTTGGTCCGAGGCATAAAGTCTCAGTGTGGCCCTGACATAAGGCAATGAAAACTACTTAAGAGACATCACCACTGCGGCTGTACGGCACTGTCTGACTGTAATCCCCATATATACACACTGCTAACCACTCGCTGCCTCTGAATTCAACAAGTCAAAGGCAAGGCGGGACAAAGGTGCACACAGCAAGGCAAGATTCAAGTGAAGTTTAACACTGAAATCAGCTCATTTCTCCTGGTATGCAATGGCTGCTGTTTAAATCAATGCATGCAAGACAGATTACCTTCTGTTGTGAAAAAACACACTGTGCACTAATCCGGCTATGTGACTTTATGCTAAAACTATAAGGTCACCTGATTAAGATATGAAGACAACACACGGCCATATTTCCTAACTACAGACCTGCAGCAAAATAACAATGAGTCAAAGGGGAAGTCTGGTTGTGTTCAGAAGTTATGAACAGCGTTACCTTAATTTAAACCAAGATTAGTTTTTAGGTAGCAGGAAGTCAGAGGAAGAATACATTAGAGGTTGCCCATGTTAAAACAATTGGTTCCCAAAATTGTAGTATTATATAAACCTTGTACAAAGCAAACATGATCCAAATGTGTGTTGAGTAAATTCTGCAGGAAACTCTTCAGATTGCAGTTAGTTATTGTAAAAACAACTGCAGATTTACCAATTGCAGGTAAGATACTGATTGCATATAACCTCTTGGTAGAATCCCCCTCCCTCTTAAATATGGAGCAAAACAAGTAGGTATCTTGGGTATAAGCAGAGTGTTGGTAAATGAGGAGGCATATGAGAATGGGTTGTATTGTTTAACTTAATTTAATCTAGTAAAAAAGAAAAACGTAAAAGATATTTAGCTTCTAAAATACTGTAGACAGATTTCTTTATAGTTGATATTACTGTTATGGTCTGACACAACTTAAGTCTGTAAAAAACAAACTATTCCCCGTCTCCACCTTTTTTCTTAGATTTTTTCAACATTAAAATACCTAAAAAGTCAGCCCGGCTGTGCAGACACGTACTGTCACCTGAATCCATTCTTCCACAACAGGCCACACCCGTATGTTTAAACTATAAACAACCTGTTCCCATCTAATAACAAACATATTTGA